CGTTTATATATTGGATCGGATTTCCTACATTTTTCAACCGATTTCAACAAAACTTCACAGGACTACATAAAATTACTTTGTGGTGGTTCTAACAGCGCCAAAAATGGGAAAAATATAATTGTTTTTGCACAAAATCAATTTGAAAACACGATTAAGAGACATCGTGAAAATGGAAGGGGGACAACTCACATCGGGTTGTTTGTGTGTGTGTGTTCCTTTAAATATGGGATCGGATTTCCTATATTTTTCAGCCGATAAAACAAAACTTCACTTTTTTTTTTTTGGGGGGCAGGTAGTGTTTCTTATTCTCTTGCACACTTTTTTCTTTATTTTTAATATTCAGAATGCTTTAAAAATTCCATTTACAAGACAATTATTTATAATAAAATTCTATTCAATCGGGAGACTCATAACGATTGAAAACAATGTTTTTGTTTGAGTTTGGGTTTGACCAATTCGTAAAAAAAAAAAAAAAAAAAACTAATTAAGACATGCGTGTCCGTCAACCTTAAACAATAATCTTTGTCAATTTTATTTTTCAGTCTTTATGATGGTGGATACTTGATCTATCTCTTATGTTATATCCCCGGGCAACGCCGGGCTCTACTGCTAGTAACTTATATTTGTATCCTTTGAGCATCATTTCTACCTGAACAATTTCAATTTTACAGAAATTTGTAGCAGCAGACTTTTGTTTATAAATATCTTAATAATTTAATTACTTTAAAATTTCAACCTCCGAATTTAACTAAAAAATGTAATGCGTCTTTCTTTGATTCTGTTTATTTTATCATTACAAACCTGTTTCTTTCTGCGATTTAAAGTTTATTTCCTCTCTCGAACAAAATATGACATTCTATGAAGAAGCGAAATGAATTTCTGAAATGTTGAATTACCAGTATTATATATTTAGGATTAATAGAGTGTAAATAAACAGTTATTATAGTAACGTTTCCATTGTTGCAATCTTCAACATTCAACAGATGACTCCCATGTTATGGAAATTTCAAACTGAACTCTTTATTAAATCCATGGGTTAGATTTTTTTTTCATTCTAATGCCCATGTTACGAGATATAATTCGTACCAGTAAATTATATCTAGTTAATTCGCCCTTGGAATAATTTTGTTTTCTTCTGAACTAGAAGATATACACAAGTAACTTTCATTGCTTTACTCAGAGTTTGAACTTATGACCACTGGATAACTAAATGCATTTAACGTTTTTATTCACTAGATACGTGGATTAAATAATAAAAAAAAGTCCAGTTCGAAATTCTTATAAGGTTACTGACAGACATTTGAAGAAGTCTAGAAGGTAAAATGTCCGAAACTATGAGAACCAGAATGACGAAACTAGTACAAATAAATTAATAATGTCTAACAATCTTTTTTTTAAAAAAAAAATCTCTCTCGAAACAGCGACATCCGTCAGTGGCATGATGTTTTATTTTAATCTGGGTGTGAAAGAAATGCTTTGGTTTATCACACATCGTTATAAATAGACTGCATAGTGCGCCAGATATTCTGTATTGAAAGGTGTGTCTTCACCACAAACATAATCATGTATTTCTTTCTTTTTTTTTTCCTTTTGGCAGTATCAAAGAATTCTTTATTTCTCTGAAAGTTATCTATAACGGCCCATTGTGACTGAACAATTGCTTTAAACTTTCAGATATATTTTGTTGATTTTAAAAACTGTCGAGTTTAGGTTGGGCGTTTTTATTTACCTCTCGGGCTTTCAATCGAGACCCTGTGCCAAAAATTGTGAGGCCATTACTGCAGTGAAAAGGAAAAAAGAAAATAAAACCCGGAAATGTCTCAGTTCAAACATGTTGATGATCATGTGGTAGTCTTTTTTTCCTTTTTAACAACTATTTTAATTTTTTAAAAACGTGATTTGATCAATTAGTATTCCAACTGTCATTAAGTGATATTTTTTTTAATTATTTTACCCCAAGCAAGGCAATAACGCCACTAACACACAGGGGATTATTGAGTGCTAGAGAATATGAGGAAAAACCATTAAGGAGAGAGAACAATAAAATAACAAGCATTAAGAAGACAGAAGATAACGACCGACATTGCATTTAAAGTTGATTGGGAAGCAATTAGCCGGAAGCGAGAAGTGACATAGAAGAAACTGCTAGCGTAGAACTTACGGTTCCATCTAGCCATTTCAACTGTAAAATGATGAGACCTTGCTGACAATCTAGTATTGCACTTAAATTTATAAAGTCTAGCTACCGATGAGGAAGGTTTATCAGAACAATTACCATTACAGTATTTCTAGAGAAGACACAGGGAAGCTACATCACGGCGGTGGGATGTGAGATTACAGAATTTTATGAAGAACCTTTATTTTACGCTTTAAAATGAATTTCACCATCTTACTTCATCATTAAAGAAGGCTACGAGATATAACATCCATCAGATGAAGGCCAAAGACGAAAGTTTGTGAATAAAAACTAAAACTAATATATATCAAGGCAGGGTAAGGTCTCATTTCAATGTTTTAGATATTTTGAAATGGCGTTGAAAAAACGTTAAATTGCAATTTACCGATATTGTAGATCATCTTTGTTGAGAATTCTTTGATGTGAATATGTAAACCTGTCTTTAGCCAGAAGTGGCAATTGAGGCTCTTCCTTTTTCCCTACTGAGGCGGGCAGAAGAGAATAACTTAATTTAATACCCAGTTTCTCGGAGACCTTATTCCCGGAGAAAACTGCGGTGAGCTGACCAGTATTCCTAATGTATCAGCATGCTGTTTTCTTGTGACAATGACCAACAGCTTCTCATGCTTGACGTCCAAACAGTTTAGAATGAAGTAGAGGGCTTTTTGAGCTAACATGAAGCCATACATGCTGCAATCGGAATTCGCAGACACAATTAACAAGTGAGTCCCTAAAACGTAGGGAGAGACATTAGATGATGAAATCCTAATGTTCAATACAGAATATACTTTGTTTAGGTTGCAAAGGTTAGTGGGTAACAGTATGTCCCAAATAGAAATGATATTTTTACGGCCTGTATGACCATAACCCAACCCCACAAACTCGACAGAGACAGTCTTTTATAGATTTGTCAATCTCGTTTGTTTTTCTGCCAACAAGAACAACAGACAACTATTTTTTGTTTACTCAGTGGCCCTCATTTCGGCCAGATCAACCAGTAACCCACCACTTTTACCAGGTGTGTGCACTGCTTGGCATGTTGCACGAATTCTGTGAGATTGATAGAATTACACAAATTCTATGACATAAAGGTAGGGTTTCCAGGTGTTAAGAAGTGAACCCTACCTCACCTCGCCACTGTTTGTTGTTTCTTTGCTTGGTATTACATCCAGGTCATCCATTTACACATTTTCTTTCCTTTCTTTTTCATTTCATGTTACCTTTTTTTCTTTTTTTAAATATATTTTCTATTTTTTTTCTTTTTCCAATCTTCGCCTTCTCAGTAATTTAAAGCGTGACATTTGCAACCCACTGACTTTAGTTCTACCTTTTCAGATTGTAATGAGAAACTCCTAGGTTTTGTCAGTCCGAATGGGCACTTGTCACAATAGTTGCAAAAAATGTCTTTTTCTGTCCTACAGCTAAAAATATCTTCTCAACCAGGAAAAATTGGTCTACAATGTCAAAGAGAAAGAAACGTGTGGGCTGAAGATCTGTATATTCTACAATATTTGCTTATATATATTAAGTGTGTGAAACCGGGAGAAAATTAAATGCACTCCACTAATTTTCTGGGGTTCAACGTCTGCTATCCGTCAAGTTGATCAGTTTACACGTATAAGATATAAACGCCTATATTTTACGGCCAAAAGGTGAAGCACAAACATGTAAGAGACGCCTACAAATAAATCTTACTAAATTCAGTGGATACGAAAAACCATTTTATAATTCTGTACAAACACGACTCCAAATTAAATAAGTGTTTTCTGGAACCTCATTGAATATGACAAGTCACGAGATGTGCACTCTACTACGTCCGCGTGGTTGAACTCCAAATAACCTGGAAAACGAGCCGGTCTCAATAATGGAGTACATTCCCGCGCAAAGCACAGACAGGATTCGTGACTCGGACACTAGCTGACAAAAAGCGATAAAAACGGCTTGTCAGGAACAATCAGCAGAGCAGACCAGGTTTCGATCAGCAACATAGACACACGTACCAGTACAACGCGTATGTCTGCAGTGTTTCTTCTACATACAACGCCACGATGAAAGTAAGTCTTCTCTCCCCTCTCTTTGTTCACAATGTTTTAAAATTACTGCTATCGCACACAATCAGTCAGCAAGTTAAACACATGTTTCATTAACGTGTGTTTCACCCATTGGATTACCATACCACTTGATTTCCTCACTTGCAACAAAAACACTTCGAAACTTTGCAGAGTCACTTGCGATAAATCATTTAAAATTATTGGTCTCTCCATGACCACATCAAAGAACATTGATTTTTAATATGTAAATACATGTATCTGACTGTATAAATGTTACTGTCATATTTAGCTTGGTTTTCTTCCTTTTCTGCAAAGATTATTTCTTCGTGTTGTATAAAAGATTATGTTGTATTTGTGGACACGACACTCAGATTTTATTTTTCCTCCTAAAATCTGGGTAGGCTGACACCACACACGGCAAATTTGGGATATCATGGAGGAAGCGAATAACATTTAAAATATCGTCTCTACTGGTAGATACTCCGGTCAGAGACTGAAAAGTTTCAAACCATTTCTTCCGGTAGGACGTCTGTATATCTACACCCATCCTTTATAGAGGTCTCGGTAACTTTTTTCTGAAAGACATCGGTGGTTTTTTCCCAGAAGAAAGAAAGAAAGAAAGAAGACTTACTATGCACAGATTCAACCATGAAGAACAGTTCTTTACCATTAGGCCATTGCGTAGTGTTTACAGTGACCCACGTCGCACTTAAACTGACATATTTTAGTGGACATCTTAACTATCTCACAGTACACTGCTACCACAATGGGCGTACGGCCATATCACGTTGAAACATCGGTTCTCGTACGATCATCGAAGTTAAGCAACGTCAAACCTGGTCAGTACCTAGATGGGTAACCACTTGAGAATACCAAGCTTTGATGTGCAGGTGATGTAATAGATAACAACACGGAATTAGAAATCGGAGAGACGAGTTCAAATTCCAGACGGATTTTTTTATATTCACTTACGCACAAATAGCCTTGAAAAAGTTGTAAATCCATCTCTTCTCGCCACCAGCTATGGCGTAGTAGGACGTATCAGTAAATCGTTATTAGATTCCAAACATTCTAACAATATAAATATTTTCTGCATTTAAATAATCTGCAAAATGTTCATAAACTGTAAAAGATAAATCAATCAATCAAGCTACAACAATGGCACTTTAAATAAATAAAATATTTCAAATCCTTATACAACTTTCGAATAGGAACTGTTTGACTCTGCCCGAGTGTATCCATATGTCAAATGTAAATGCACACATGCGTTTACAAGATGAGACCAAAAATTGTCTAATGCTTTTGACACAGGCTTTAGGACGTGTCCACTGACCTTTTTATACAGTAGATAGGTATTATAGTTAGCAGAGGTATCTCCATAAACTAGACTTCTATACTTATTTTATAGTTTTTCGAACCACAACGGTCAGAACACTTCAGCTATAGAAGAAATGTTTTAAAATACTGAACAAATTAACCGGCATAAAATGTTTGTGACTTTGATAAAAGACAAACAAACGCCAGAAATTTAAAGTTTAAATCTCCTTATGTTTGAATAAATAAAAAGTGAATTTGCTTTTAGAAGATTGAATTCGCTCTTAGCACCACCACAGTGAGAAAAGCACTGTAAGCTAATCGTTATTTTCGTTCATTTGCAACCTACGTTATAAAAGAAGAGCTGATTCTTCGTCCATCACACATTGTGTATAACATTGCATGCGCTTATGCAATGTATATGTATATTGTGCCTGAGTGACTTACGCGTACTTGTGTCATTTAATACACACACAAGCACACACACACACAATTTGACTGATATTAGAATATTACGTTTCCCATCCAATCAGTCTAGACAACTCCTATCCTACGCAGAAGAAGTAAAAATAAAGTTGGAGACAAGAAAAAAGAGAAAACTTAATTTTTTAAACCATAAAAATCAGAAAATTACAGGATTTTGTTTAACATCCAGTAAATTATTCACTAATAGATAGAATTATTTTTAATTTTTTATAGAAATAGTTTTAAGCCTGTCAGTGAATGAAATGTCCGTGGGCAAATACACAAGAGGCTGATTTTCTTTTTTGTATGGCAACAACTATTAATAGGAAAAGAAAAGTGAATAAACCGAAATGTGCGGCCCTTTGAAGTCATTTTAAAACCCTCTCTGCATATTTGCTAATAAATGTATTATTTTTAAATGGGGAAACAATTTAAATTTAAAATGTGATCATTTAGCAGCCAGGAAAGCGACAGGAACCGAACTAGTTCCGATTGTAAACGAATACCGTTGAGGTTTTTTCGAATGACCTGATTAGACTGGTCAGTGTTCAAACCCAGGTAAAAGATAAGATTTCAAATAAGGATTTTCTAATTTAAGTAAGCATACAGGTTCTACCTATTTGAGAGATTGACTCAAGATAATTTTTCTGCTACCTATGTAGTGGACTCCCTGAAGAAGGCGTGATATAATATGGCATGTGTGCCCCAAGAAGCTCACTAACATTTTAAAGATAAAAGACGTGAATTATTTACATTATTCGGACTATTGTCCTCATCTTTGTCGCCATATTTATTACGTTTCGGCCGTTGTACGCTCCGGCTTTTTTCAGGTGGTTGGAATGTCGAACTGAACTCTTTATTTCGCTCACTGGAGTAAACTGTTCTAGTTCCACGTGCCATGTTTAATGGATGTCAGTTATCTCCTGTTAATTTCCCTCTGAAAGTTCTCCACTGCCTTAACCGGGTATTGAACATGTATGTACATAATATCTCATCTCAGAAATATAGACAAAAGACGTGAAATTTGACAGGTCAACAAGTGGACAGCCAACGACAAACTTTAAATTAATACAAAATTTATTTCCATCGTATACAATGGTAGGGATTCGTTTAAAGGAATATGAGCAAACAATGAATTAAGTAATGGATGTAGAATTAAGTAAATTGAGAAATACTGACCGGCTAGAAGATCTAGGTAATGAGATTAAATGTTAAAAGTAAAGTCCATGTAAGTTAAGTTGGCATGTAAGTCCACAGTTAAGAAAGTTCATTTCACATGTCCGGCGAAAGTGTTGAAAAGTTGATGGTTAAGTCCAATATTGAACCTTCCGTAGTATTTTAACCGAAGTGTACGGAATAAGTTATTTGAAGACAGCAATCTCCTAAACTAGGTGAGTTAGGCTGACAGGAAAGCCGGAAACTAGTACAGCCGGAATTCAGGGCTGTTGTAAGCAGGTCCATTAACGCCGATCAAACTGGTGTGTTAGGTTGAAGTAAGGTCCAGAAGTAATAAAGGCTGTAGTAGCCTGAAGTAAGAGTCAGTGGTAGCCGAAAGTATCAAAGGCTAGAAATACTGGAAGTAAGATGCCGGAAGATGAGTGTTTGTGATAGCAGGAAGGAAAAACAAAAGTCAATAGTGCCGGAAGTATGGATGGATAAGAAAGCCCAACTAGTGTCCAGTTAGCAGACAAAAATAAATGGGCACGTAACTCAATACATAACCCATCCAAGCACCCTGGCCTCCTCCTCTCCTGAGTTCGGCTAGAAGTCGCCGGCTTATATGATAAAGGAGTGTAAACATTAACTGCAAGGTACTAAAAATCTCAAGAAAAGTAAATTCAGAAGTGCTACGAAATATAAAACGTATAAAATGTTCACAAAGTGTATTCAAACTAGGTTCGTAACACTGAAACAACAAAAAAACATGAGGTTTATTATGAATCTAAATTTTAACTTTCTGTGTTAAATTGAAGGCTGTGCGGCAACGCAATAAAGAAAAAGTTAAGGTCATGAAGTTATATGTCTTCCCTTGATCACGTGAACGGGGTAGCGAAGGGCTACGATACATATTCTTTTTAGTCTTGTGTTGGACTTGGCTAAGCTTATTAAATACTAAGTTGCATAAAAATTTGTGTGCACCATTCAACTTTTGGACATGTTGAAATTTATTAAAATGAAAACTTTAGCGGAATTTATATATGAAATGTCCAACTGTAACTGAATACACACACACACACATATTTATAACAATTTCACCTAAATGACATCAGAAGATTGTTGTAATTCTTTGGTTTGGTCTAATTTGTTTTTACGTCATATCAACCTCAGTGGGTTATTTAATGCCGACAAGAGTTTTAGGATAAGTTCGTATGAATAGAATATGTATTCTTTGTAACAAATCAGTTTGTAGATCAGATTTCATTGACATATTTTTGTAAAGAGGTTTTTTGCCGAGAGTCAGATACATTGCTGGCAATATTTCTTTTTTTCAAAAATGTATCGCTGGTATTTTTACTATAAAAATCTATTTTTATATTCTCATAGTGTTTTGACCCCACTTTGGAGGTTAACTATTTACCCATAGCTGGGACCCTTACAAGTGCTACCACCACGGGTCAGGGTGAACCTAGGAACAACAGCAATTCAAAGGTGGTTCCATGCTCCTCAAAAGCGCCTGATCAGAGGTTTTGCTGTCTTACGTAGTTTATCGTCATACTCAGGACGAATAATTGTTTGGGGCTTATTTAAGATTATCTTTGTGATTAATCTGTGCTTCATTCCTTCACTTCCACTCACGAATTCCTTATAATTATTGTGCCTTGTTTAATATTTCTCAAGTTGTAAATATCCTCATTTTTTGGTTTTAAATGTTCGGAAATTTGCGCTGTTCGCACATTTTAATATACATAAATAGAAATAACTTTCTTGATTTCTTGATTTTTGAATGATCTTTAAAATCGGTTTAAGTTTATAGTGGCATGGGGCTTAGGGGTTAATGTGAACAGTTCATTTATTCACTCCAAGAAGATTAATGATGGATGATAATGACGAGGAAACACACGGCTAATTTTAACAAAACAAAATAAGGAATTTATTTATGAATTTACATGGTTGAAGTTGTGTCAGTAGCTCATTTTAGGAAAATAATCATAAGTTTTTAAAGTCCATAGTTTTTACGAATTGTCATGAAGAGGATATGTTCATACAACAGATTAAATGATCTGAGACAAAATAATATTCAAAACAAAGGTACGAGAGTTCATTCTTCACAGAAGGGATATACGGCTGCATACATTCAAATGTTGACGAAGAAAGTTAACTTGAAATACTTAGCTGTATTAGATTGTTTAAAGAAAATTCTTTGAAGTGCCGCCTGTTTGGTTAAAAGCCGATAATGTAATTGGCGAGTAATTTGACACTGGCGAAAAACTTGGTGAACAGATACGAAAACTTTCACAAGACTTCAGACTCTCTTATCTTATTAATTTAATTTTTCTTTCATTTTATATAAAAAGGAATTTCGCATATGCTCGCTACTTTCTATTCTTTCTTCTTCTTGGCTCACCGGTCAATCTCTGTGAAGGCAAGGTTTTCATTGGTCCAAAGAAAATTTCACATAGGATCGCGAATTCTGTTCCGTCTTTTTCATCAGTCCTCAAAATTTGAAGGGAGTTGGTAAAGAAAGTGTTATCATTTCGCAATCACTACAAGTTCTTTTGAATTTAAAGGTTTTATGTATTATACGTTGTTTTATAATATAACTATATTTTTAATTACCATTTAATTACCATTTCTCCTATGTTAAATTAAATTTCTAAAGTTTTTCATAAAATTATTATACATGTTTTCTCATTTTGCAACCAAGAAGTCGCCTCGTTTCTAACAGTCATTTTTTGACAAGCAATTTTTTTTCCGGCAGTTACATTATTAACATAATAATAGATTTTAATAAAGTTTGTTTTTGTTAACTATTGTTCTGCTATCCATTTACTCAACTTCGCTGGGTAGGTTATACGTTGCTTTCCTTTCTCTCTCTTGCCTTCAATCTGTCCTGTGAGTATCAAATTTTCCAAGCCTTATTTCTTCATTATGTGCATT